GGGGGTATCTGGGTGTTTTCACAAGGCTGATGAGTCTTGCGAGTGTAATTTGCTGGTGGAGCTGTGCAAAAATGTGCTGTGCAGCACCTGTGGTAGCACTTGGCTCCAGGCTGATGGGCCTTCTCAGGACCGCTTTGCTGATGCACCCTGAAATAAAGTTCTTCTAAGCCTCTGCTGGTGACTAACTGGGAAAGGCCAGGGAACTGCTTCCCTTTTTGTTTCTTTCCATTTACTGGAAACAGAGCCTTTGGCCAGGAAGCTCTTAGTCCTCCTCGCACAGGGGAACAGGTACCCCAGGCGTGCTGCTCCCTGCCTGTGAAGCTGCAGAGAAGTAGGAGGATGAGTCAGGGGGAAGCCTGCTGACGTGCATGGCATAGCTGGTGAGGATCTTGCGCTTTTCTCTCCACAGACACGTTTTTGGGTGCCAGCTTTAGGGAGGAACAATAAGCTCTGCACTACCCCTTGCTATTCCCTTGCAGTAAGCAGTATCATTTCCCCCCTTTCCAAAACTCCAGCTTTGGAGAAAGTAAAAATCTGACCTTGGCGATATGCTGTATTTCTTTCTGCCTGCATCCACGTCCAAACCCTTAACTTGGATGTCTGTCCTCCACTGATCCCCAGGCACCCTCATCCTCAAAGCTGTAACACCTCTGGTAGAGGTAACGGAGGCCTTGACACCACCCAACTATTCTGCAGGCAGTAGTTACTAGAAAATGATAGCTTAGGTGTCTCAGTTTCCTATTTTGAAGTTCAACGATACGGTTATGTCTTGTTCCTCTTAAAGGCAGCAGTAAAAGCCTGATCTCCCAATGCGTGCCTACCAGCACTGTGCTGTTGCCCTAGTGTGTGCCTGCTGACTTGGAAGTATGGAAGGAATTTGTATAGTAAGATCACGCATCCAGAATTTGAAAAAACACTCCGCCAGTTAGGACAACAATGACTCATTTTTCTCGCAAACGCTTTGTATTTATTGTCTCAGCAAGAATTCAAGACATAAATACATGGGGCATACAGCAAAATGTCTGGCCCATATCCAGGACAGGCCTTGAGAAAAACAAACTCGTGTTGACACAGCCATATAGCAGATCCTTTCCAGCACTAACAAAAGGAATCCTAGGGAGGAGATCAGCAAGCACTCACTCATACACTGGCACTGATCGCTTGGATCTAGGTCTCTTTCCTGAGCTCCCGGTGAACGCTAGCGCTTTTGACAATGCTCAGAGAAATGTAAAAGTGTTTCACAAAAAGCAGATAGTCCTTGCAGATTTAGACAGAAAAATCCTGTGCTAATATTTAACACAGGTATCCCCATGACAATGCATTTATCAGAATACTTTCTTTGCATAACCTTCATGTGTGCTACAGCCCGAAAAACTGGGCAGGCTCTATGAAGCCCACACCTCGTTCCCTACTGAATTTCAAAGCAGCATACATTGAGCAGAACACTTCTATTCAAATACATTTCAGCAACTAATGCGAATGCTAACGCTGAATTTTCCTGAGAGTCCTAGACAGGCACGATCATTGTTTAGTGTCCTTGATGAAGACTCCGAGACTCCAGCAAGTCCAGGACTTGCAGTGGGAGCCCTTCTGTTGAAGCCGGGGCTGCCTCCGACAGACAGCTTTGCCGAGTTGCACGCGGCGCTAGCCTGGGAGCTGGTGTTCAGCCGAACAGAAACTCTTTGCATTTACTTTTTTAATACCTGAAAAACCGACCTCTGTACACGTCAGCAAAAACACGTTACTTTGCAGTACTGAGTAACAACTGTTCTTCAAATGTTATGTCCTCACTGAAAAGGTATTACCTGGCTTGGGAGGAGGAGGGAACCATGCATGTGGCTCAAGCCAACAGCAAATCTCCCAGTAACACCACTGGGACGGGGTTAAGTTCTCCATGAGAAAAGCAGGCAAAGTCAGTCAGCTTCTGCTTAGCAAAATCAGTGACAAGTAACAGACATACACAGCTGGGTGTGACAGAGCGACCACAGCTATGTAATGACAATTTTGCAAAGGCAGAAGAGCTAACCGAGAAATTAATTGGAACTACAAACAAGAAGTCACTACGAGGCAGGAAAAAATGTAATTTGAACAGACCCAGAATTCAGCAAGTGCAAATATCCAGCCTTATACAATGCAAATGTACTGACACACAAGGTTAATTAAGAGAAGGAGCTCTGACCATTGACCTAAGAGACAGCTACAAAACATGATAAGCGTCAGCCATTTTCTTGCTAGCTTACACCCATGAAAAAATACTGTTTGGGATCGTGTCTGACACGAATTGACTAGCAGAGCTACTGTTTGCCCTGAGACGGCTCAGCGTGCTTAATTCAGCTCCTCCGAAGCCAGCCAAGGGTAACACCCCCTCAGTGAGACAGGCGTAATGCACCACTATCCACTGGATGTGTTACAGCGGCTTCATCATTCTGGAACCGAAATGAGGTTGACATGAAATGAAATGGAAATAAAGTACAAGGGAAGAACCTTCACTTGCAAGTATAGTTAAACATCCAGATATCCAAGGCTACTTTCCTGTACTGACTGTAACATTCAATTCTATCAATATTATTTCTTCAAAGAGAGGTAGTTGCTTTCTTTGAATAAATAACATTCTCAGGAAAACCTGAGATCCAGCTCGGATTCAACTTAAAGATCTATGTCTACTGAAGAGTTATTTTGTTACTTATAAAGACACAGCACTATTGTACTGTTCTCAAGAAATTCTTTGTAATGTTGAAAGAATCCTTCCACCAAATACATATAACTCAGTATCTGTATTTGTGTAACATATATTCATATATATATATCTTATATAATGCTATACTAAAGTATGCTCCCCTCTGTGTTGCATGACGTATTTCCTTTATTATCAGAAAACATTATGCTTTCTTGTAGTTAATATAATGTATTTTATGTTGTGTTTTGAACATTTTTCATAATATTTTTTGAGCCTAACAAGTAGCATTCAATTAATAGTTCTGTGAAATACTCATTTCATACGCACAGGGTGCACATATTTATATTTTATATATATATAATATATATATGCAAGTATATATACATATATATATAATACAGACTAGAACTAAGCAATATCATGTTAATTCATAGAATTGTAATTTCTAGACCACAAATCGACAACCTGTAACAAATAACCTTTCAATAAAGATAGCGGTTTACTCAACAAATGAAATAATCCCACCACCAGATCCCCATCCAGCAGAATCCACGCTTTAGAAAACACGAGTAGTCAGGAGGGGGGTGTCTTTCCAAAGGTGGTCCAAGATCCGTGGTGAAACGTAGCTGTGGGACACCAGGACCAGAGGACAACTGGGGAAACCAGGCCCCTGGAAGTCTTCTCAGGCCAGGCTGAAGGGCAAGTTCTGTCTTGCCCCAAGTCTCCCCACAGCACGGTGGTGCATGGCACGGTGACGGGCACTGCCCATTGCTATCTTTCCTTTTTCCACCCGGAAAAATTCGTGCGCCAATATTGCCGTAGCATTCTTCAGAGAAACCATATTGCGACCGCCGTCCTACGGGCACCAAAACACAATGCAAAGAGCTTTCTCCATCTCCCAGCGCCAGCAGAGTCCCTCTTTCCGAACCCGCGAAAGCCAAGGCCTTCTCCCCGCTCCTCAGCGCGCCGTCTCCGAGGGCAGCTCACCTCTCCGGGCAGAACAGCTTCGCCAGCAGGTTCAGGATCTTCTGCCGCAGGTCCCACTTGTCGCCGATCCTGCGCAGCTGCAGCGCGCACTCCGCCA